AATAAAATTTTATGAAACCAATCGCGTTCTATAGACATAATTAAATATTTTTTCTATCTAATAATTAATACAAAATAAGAAAAAAAAATTAGGAGAATCACATTTATTTGAGAATCTTCAATCTAAATTAGCATGTTGCTTCTCGGTTATCATGATCTCGAACTGAATACCTCAAATTACCTTAATAGCTACAACATAGGTGGGATTTGAAAGTTAAAAAAAAAAATACATGAATGAAGGACATCTTTGTTAGACAAAAGAGAGTTATCATCCATTCAAGTTTTTATTGGGGATGTATACCAAATTCATATAATATTAAATTAGCAAATTAGCATGACGGAGACTTTCTAATTACCACCTAGAAGTATGTAGTGGCGTTAGCAAATATATATGAAATAATTTTTTAAGTAGATATTCTTTAAAAAAAATTGAAGTAGGGGTGATTTTTTAAGTAGATATTCTAAAAAAATTAATAATATCTGCTAATAATTAAAATAACTTTGAGAAGTCAAAATATAATTTAAAAGTTAGGCACTATTCTTAGACATGACTGAAGTCTTTTTTTAATATTTTTGAAGCTCTTTGTTAAGAAAAAGTTGTCATGTCTTCATTTAATTTTCTTTTAAGGGTGGGTTTGATTGCAAGGGTGGAAAATGGGTGAAAAGAAAATGTTTTATAGGGAAAAGATTATCCTAGAAATTGTATTCCAGGGAATTGTAATTAGTTGCGTTTGATTAGTATAATTTTCCACCTAAAAAATATTGAGATTTTCNTCCCCATAGAAACTAGACACTCACAACACATAATCTGTACAATTTTGTAGCTATGAACTGGGCGAGGATAAATTAGAACTATTGTACTACTGATTGTAAATATTTTGGAAGTACAATATTACTCGATGTAACAACTTTTTACCAGATCGAGAAGTAAAACTACACGTTAAATACATTTCAATTACGTTGACACACGGTACTATTAATCTATTACACGAATTATAAATTTATAATTTATAATGTTTTGCTAGAAATGTAGATTTCGTCTAATTAAAATATGTCCTAATACCAAGATATTAATAATCTCTAGTGACTATCGCTAAGAGATGTATTTCGATGTAATCGATGTACAAGAAGAAGGCTATCAATCTCTCAAATTCCACGGCCGAGGAGTTATTCGCTATTAAGATTTGGAATTCGATACGAAAAAGGTCAGCCTTATTGAGAATAGTAGACCAAACTCTTATATGTTGGTAATTAGCCGATGTGAAATTTATCTCTTAACATTCCATATCTGGGGCGAATAACTATGACATTTGTGTATGATTACATTGAAGGTTGCCTTACCATAGGAATCAGTTTTCTATTTGGATGGAGATTCCAAAGAGAGCTCTGCATTCTACTTAGCCCCTGTTTGGCACCCATTATTTGAAATTTTAATGATTTGAATAGTATTTTTTTTTTAAAATGTGTGGATAAAAAAAAAAAGAAATTTTTTTGGGATTACGTGTAATATTATTATATTGGAGAATGTGTGATTGATAAGAAAAGATAGCAAAATAAATTATAATTTTAATTGGGGCCAAACAATGGGCTTAAATGTGAGTGAGGTACTATAATTGGAAGAGACGTGAAATGTTTCAGTGAATGAATAGTGGAATACTCGGAGTAGAATGGTGAATGCACCATTGTATTTTTCTAAATTTAATACACAAATAGTTAATAACATCTTATATTTAATAAAATTTTATGAAACC